TGTAAGTATCTATGCACCCAACATAGGAGCACCTCAATACATAAGACAAACACTAACAGACATAAAAGGAGAAATTGACAGTAACACAATAATAGTAGGAGACTTTAATACCCCACTCACACCAATGGACATATCATCAAAACAGAAAATTAATAAGGAAACACAAGTGTTAAATGACACATTAGATGAGATGGACCTCATTGATATCTTCAGGAAATTCCATCCAAATGCAGAAGAATACACCTTCTCAAGTGCACATGGAACATTCTTCAGGATAGACCACATCTTGGGTCACAAATTAAACCTCAGTAAATTTAAGAAAATTGAAATCATGTCAAGGTTCTACTCTAACCACAACACTATGAGACTAGATACCAGTTACAAGAAAAAAACTGTAAGATACACAAACACATGGAGATTAAAAAACACATTTCTAAATAATCAACAGGTAAATCAAAAGGGAAATCAAAAAATGTCTAGAAACAAATGACAATGAAAACACGACAACTCAAAACCTATCAGATGCAGCAAAAGTAGTTCTAAGAGGGAAGTTTATAGCAATACAATCCTACTTCAAGAAACAAGAAAAACATTGAATAGACAACCTAACTTTACACCTAAAACAACTGGAAAGAGAAGAACAAAGAAATCCCAAAATTAGTAGAAGGAAAGAAATCATAAAGATCTGAGCAGAAATAAATGAAAAAGAAATGAAAGAAACAATAATAAAGATTAATAAAACTAAAAGCTGATTCTTTGAGAAGGTAAAATTGACAAATCCTTAGCCAGACTCATCAAGAAAAAAAGAGAGAAGAATCAAATCAACAAAACTAGAAATGAAAAAGGAGAGGTTATGACAGACAATGCAGAAATACAAAGGATTATAAGAGACTACTATGAACAACTATATGGCAATAAAATAGATAACTTGGAAGAAATGGACAGATTCTTAGAAAAGCTCAATCTTTCAAGACTGAACCAGGAAGAAATAGAAATTATGAACAACCCAATCACAAGCACTGAAATTGAAGCTGTGGTAAAACATCTCCCAAAAAACAAAAGCCCAGGACCAGATGGCTTCACAGGAGAATTCTATCAAACATTTAGACAAGAGCTAATGCCTATCCTTCTAAAACTCTTTCAAAAAATTGCAGAGGAGGGAACACTTCCAAATTCATTCTACAAGGTGACCACCACCCTGATACCAAAACCAGACAAAGACAGCACAAAAAAAGAAAACTACAGGCCAATATCACTGATGAATATAGATGCAAAACTGCTCAACAAAATTTTAGCAAACAGAATTCAGCAACACATCAAAAAGCTCATACACCATGATCAAGTTGATTTTATTCCAGGGATGCAACGATTCTTCAATATACACAAATCAGTCAATGTGACAGACCATATTAACAATTTGAAAGATAAAAACCATATTATCATCTCAATAGATGCAGAAAAAACCTTTGACAAAATTCAGCACTTATTAATGATTAAAACTCTTCAAAAAATGGGCATAGAAGGAACCTACCTCAACACAGTAAAGGCCATATATGATCAACCTAGAGCACATATTATTCTCAATGGTTAAAAACTGAAAGCATTCCCCCTAAGAACAGGAACAAGACAAGGGTGTCCACTTTCACCACTATTATTCAACCTAGTTCTGGAAGTCCTATCTATAGTAATCAGAGAAGAAAAAGAAGTGAAAGAATCCAGATCGGAAAAGAAGAAGTAGAGCTCTGTTTGTAGATGACATGATACTGTACATAGAAAACCCTAAAGATAGTATCATAAAATTACAAGAGCTAATCAGTGAATTTAGCAAAGTCACAGGATATAAAATCAATACACAGAAATCACTTGCATTTCTATATTCTAAGAATGAAAATTCAGAAAGAGAAATTAAGGAATCAATCCCATTCACCATTGGAACAAAAAGAATTAAATATCTAGGAATAAACTTACCTAAAAAAGACAAAAGAACTGTACACAGAAAATTATAAGACACTAATGAAAGAATTCAATGACGACATAAAGAGATGGAGAGCTATTCCATGTTCCTGGGTAGGAAGAATCGATATTGTGAAAATGACTATACTACCAAATGCAATTCTCAGATTCAATGTGATCTCTATCAAATTACCAATGGCCTTTTTCACAGAACTAGAACAAAAAAATTCACAATTCATATGGAAACACAAAAGAATAAGAATAGCCAAAGCAATCTTGAGAAAGAAGAATGGAGCTGGAGGAATCAACTTTTCTGACTTCTGATTATACTACAAAGCTACAGTCATCAAGACAGTATGGTACTGGCACAAAGACAGAAATATAGACCAGTGGAACAAGGTAGAAAGTCCAGAAAGACATCCATGAACCTATGTGTACCTTATTTTAGACAAAGGAGGCAAGAATATACAATCGGGCAAAGACAGCCTCTTTAATAAATGGTGCTGGGAAAACTGGACAGCTACATGTAAGAGAATGAAATTAGAACACTTCCTAACACCATACATGAAGATAAACTCAAAATGGATTAAAGACATAAATGTAAGACCAGAAACTATAAAACTCTTAGAGGAAAACAGAGGCAGAACACTCAACGACATAAATCAAAGCAAGATCCTCTACGACCCAACTCCTAGAATAATGGAAATAAAAACAAAAGTAAACAAGTGGGACCTGATTAAACATAAAAGCTTTTGCACAGCAAAGGAAACTGTAAGCAAGGTGAAAAGACAACCCTCAGATTGGGAGAAAATAATAGCAAATGAAACAACTGACAAAGGATTCATTTCCAAAATATTCAAGCAGCTCATACAATTCAATACCAGAAAAACAACCCAATCAAAAAGTGGGAAAAAGACCTAAACAGACATTTCTCCAAAGAAGACATACAGATGATAACAAACACGGGAAAAGATACTCAACATCACTCATTATTAGAGAAATGCAAATTAAAACTACAATGGGATATGACTTCACACTGGTCAGAATGGCCATTATCAAAAAGTCTACAAGCAGTAAATGCTGGAGAGGGTCTGGAGAAAAGGGGATGCTCTTGCACTGTTGGTGGGAATGTAAATTGATACAGCCACTATGGAAGACAGTATGGAGATTTCTTTAAAAACTAGGAATAAAACCACTATATGACACAGCAATCCCACTCCTAGGCATATACTCTGAGGAAATCAAAATTGAAAGAGACACATATATCCCATTGTTCATTTCAGTACTATTTACAATAGCTAGAACATGGAAGCAACCTAGATGTCTGTCAACAGATGAATGGATAAAGAAGTTGTGGTACATATACACAAGGTAATATTACTCAGCCACACAAAGGAATGCATTTGAGTCAGTTCTAGTGAGGTGGATGAACCAAGGAACTGACTACATAGAGAAGTCAGTCAGAAACAGAAAGATAAATATTATATTCTAACACATATATACGGAATCTAGAAAAATGGTACTCAAGAATTTATTTACAGAGCAACAATGGAGAAACAGACATAGAGAATAGACTTATGGACATGGGGAGAAGGGAGGAGAGGGTGAGATGTATGGAAAGAGTAACAGGGAAACTTACATTACTTTATGTAAAATAGATAGCCAACGGGAATTTGCTCAAACAGGGGCTCTGTATCAACCTAGAGGGGTGAGATGAGGAGGGAGATGGGGCAGAAGTTCAAAAGGGAGGGGATATATGTATACTTACGGCTGATTTAATGTTGACATTTGACAGAAAACAGCAAAATTCTGTAATTATCCTTTAGTAAAAAAATAAATAAAATTTTAAAATTATCCTTAAAAAATAGAATTAATTACAGTGGACTAAATGAACTGATGAGGATGATTATAACTTTTATGAATTTTTGTATGAAATATTGTTGGTTCTATTGCTCTGTTTTTCCATTTAATATAATCTTTAGCTTTCCCAAGTGGCTGCCAAAGCTGGCAGAGGGGCAGGTCCTTGTGCTCAATGGCTGAGGCCATCTCCTGGGCCACCTGGCAGCCACTGCAGTCAAGCAGGTGCTTCTGGGCCTGAGGGTTGTGGTCATGCATTGTAAGGGAACCAACATTTCTGGCAGTTTCCACAGAAATAAGTTGAAGTATCTGGCCTTTCTCTGCAAACAGATGAACACCAACCCTTCCCATGGTTCCTACCACTTTGGAGTGCCCAGCCACATCTTCTGGCGGACAGTGCAGAGCATCCTTCCCCACAAGACCAAGCGAAGCCAGGCCACTCTGGACTACTTCAAGATATTTGCTGGGATCCCACCACCCTATGACAAGAAAAAGTGAATGGTGGTTCTGCTGCCCTCAAGATTGTGTGTCTGAAGCCTACACGGAAGTCTGCCTACCTAGGGTACCTGGCTCATGAGGGTGGCTGGAAATACCAGGTGGTAACAGTCTCCCTGGTGGAGAAGAGAAAGGCCAAGATCCATTATCAGAAAAAGAAGCAGCTCATGAGGCTATGGAAGCAAGCTGAAAAGAACATCAAGAAGAAAACAGACAAAGCCACAGAGGTCCTCGAGATCCATGGATTTCTGGTGTGACCCCAACAAAACTGACAGTTTATTCTTCATGCTTGGCCGGCCCTGCCCTTCCTCAATCACCCTAGGATATGGGGGGCCCCAGTGGCTGCCACACAGGTGCCACAGGCAGACTGGGTAGAGCCAAGGGGCGTTAGTCAGTGTAGGCAGTTCTAAGGGCTATGCAGGCATCATTTGTCTGCAACCTTATTTGTTCATAAGAGTTTTACGACATGAACAGTTGGAACAGCCAGTGTGGTTGCAATACTGGCAGCAGTGAACTGGAAGACTTAATTGAAAGTGGACCCCCCCCCCCAATGCCATTGCTTACAGGGCCTCTGTTTACGCTTCCCATGTATTCAGGCACTATACTCTGCAGTGGTTAGGTTGTGAGAAAATGCTCAGGCAGCACGAGTCTGGGGTTATCAAAGGTGTTTATGGAAAAGAAGTTCAGCCAAGAGGTCACAGACATTGCCCTTGCATCTTATATTTTGTCATTCAAAACCAGTAATTATTTTTAAAGAAAAAAAAGATAATGTTTATCTCTTTTCCCAAGTTATCAGCAATTTGCTGACATGTATCTTTATAAACAAAGATGAAACATTTATCTTATTCTCCCCACCTGATCTCTCCAGAATTCAGAAACTCTTGGTGAATAGTCTTATTTTATGGCAAGATACTTATTTGCATAAGTTCAGTAAGAATCTGTTTTTACTGTCACAGGACACAACTGGAAACTTGGTTATATTACCAAGGCTTTGCTTGGAATGTCATATTTTAAAATGTGCATAAGGGGTCCATAAGGCATTGTTCTGGATTCCCACCACAACTTAAAGGGAAACTTTCACAATGTCCAGAGCCCTTGATGTCCTGCAAATGAAAGAACAGGATGTCCTTAAATTCCTTGCAGCAGGAATCCACTTAGGTGGCACCAACTATGACTTCCAAATGGAACAGTACATCTATAAAAGGAATACTGATGGCATCTACATCATAAATCTGAAGAGAACATGGGAGAAGCTTCTGTTGGCAGCTTCTGCCATTGCTGACATTGAAAACCCAGCTGATGTCAGTGTCACATTCTCCAGGAATACTGGCCAGTGAGCTGGGCTGAAGTATGCTGCTGCCACTGGAGCCACTCCTACTGCTGGCCACTTTACTCCTGGAGCATTCACTAACCAGATGCAGGTAGCCTTCCAGGAACCGAGACTTCTGGTGGTTACTGGCTCCAGGGCTGACCACCAGCCTCTACAGAGGCCTCTTATGTTAAGCTGTTTATCATTGCTGAAAGTGGAAGTTCCCAGGTGGCTTCCCAGGTGGCGCTCCTGGTACAGAACTCACCTGCCAATGCAAGAGACATAAGAGAAGTGAGTTTGATCCCTGGGTCAGGAAGATACTCTGGAGGAGGGGAGGGCAACCAACTCCAGTATTCTTGCCTGGGAAAACCCATGGATAGAGGAGCTTGGTGGGCTACAGTCCATAGGGTTGCAGAGTCAGACACAACTGAAGTGACCTAGCACACACACTCACCATTGCTCTGTGTAACAGAGACTCTCTTCTGCATTCTGTAGACACTGCCATTCTGTGCAAAAAGGGAGCTTACTCAGTAGGTCTGCTGTGGTAGATGCTCACCTGGGAAGTTCCGCACATATGTGGTACCATCTTCTGTGAACACCCATGGGAGGTCATGCCTGATCTCTACTTCTACAGAGATCCTGAAGAGATAGAAAAGGAAGAGCAGGAGGCAGCTGAGAACGCTGTGACCAAGAGGGAATTTCAGGGTGAATGGTCTTCTCTAGTTCTGGAGTTCACTGCTATTGAACCTGAGGTGGCAGACTGGTCCAAAGGTGTGCAGGTGCCCTCTGTACCTATTCAGTAGTTCCCCACTGAAAATTGGTCTGTGGCTCCCACTGCTTGGACCACTGAATAGGTAGGAATAACCACTGAGTGGTCTTAAACTGTTCTTCCACAGACTCTTACAATGGAAATTCGATTGATGGAAAATAAATTTCTAAAAACTAAATAAATAAAATTAAAAAAATCAAACTGTGCATAGAATCAGATATGACAAGGCAGCTTTAATGAATAGCGTATTCCAGTAAGAACTTCCCTTCCTATGAAGAGTTGAGTTGAGAATATGTTCCATCAACTCACCTCTATTACGGCTTAAACTCCTGTTCTGACCAAGGTGCATGCCTGTATGCAGCAGAGGAGCACCCTGTCTGTCAGCCCACTGTCTCTGGAAATGCAGGTGTTACCAGGCCTGTGGAATATGTAGATCCTCCAAATTCCCCTGCCCTTATTCCTATGGCAGCCCCTGGGGCCTGTAGAGAGGTAATAGAAGAAATTCCCCCTAATGCCTAGTGTACAGATGGGTCTAGTCAGGGTAACCCACCCACATGCATTTCAATGGCTCTTCAGTCCAACACTGACACCATCTGGATGGAAACAGGAATGAACCATAGGAGCCTTTGTGCTGAATTCGATTTCACTGGTGATCACTGATGAGCCCTGGCTATTAGTCCTTTGCACTGACAAGTTGTTGGGCTATTCTCAAGGGTTTAACCCTATGACTTGGACAATGGAAAGCCAAAGGATGAATAATCATAAATAAGTCCTCATGGAATCAGGATATGTAGAAAGACTTGGAGGTTCACCTGCAAGAAGCTCAGTTGGTAAAGAATCTGCCTGCAATGCAGGAGACCCTGGTTTGATTCCTATATTTGGAAGATCCCCTAGAGAAGGGAAAGGCTACCCACTCCAGTATTCTGGCCTGGAGAATTCCATGGACTGTACACTCCATGGGTTCACAGAGAGTCAGACACCACTGAGCGGCTTTCACTTTCACTTTTTTACTTGCAAGAACCTGAGGCAGTCCTCACTGTCTGCCACAGTAGATCAGGTGCATAGAAAGACTGGCCACTCTAGCACCCAGGTGTATTACCCAAGGATGCCAGATTGCCCTTGTAAGACAGTGACTTGGTTAATGCAGTAACGTGTCCTGTTTATTCTAAAAATAGCCAAGGCAACTGCCAAAGGAGCCTGGGGCCATCCACCAGAGTCCCCCATCAGTGAGGCATTGGCAATTTAATTATATTAGCCCCCTCTATCTCAGTTAATGTGCTAAATACACTTTGGCTTGGGTAGACACTGCATTTGGCATAACCCAAGCTTTCCATTGTTGCCATGCAAGCTAGGTTGCCACCATTAAGAGATCAGAGAAGCTGAGTACCATGTACAGATATCTTCATAAAACAGACAGTGACTGGGGGTTCACATTTCAAATATCATAGTAGCAAGGCTGGAAAAAGTATATGACATTAAGTGGAGGTTCCATCTTTCCTATGGCCCACAAGCAGCAGGGTTGGTAGAAAGGAAAAAGTAAAGTGAAAGTCACCCAGTCATGTCTGACTCTTTGTAATCCCATGGACTATATAGTCCGCTGGAGTGGGCAGCCAGAATGGCTTCTCCAGGGGATCTTCCCAACCCAGGGATTGAACTCAGGTCTCCCACATTGCAGGTGGATTCTTTACCAGCTGAGCCACCAGGGAATCCCTGGTGGAAACTTCAGGAAGGAAAAATGGAATACTAAACAGCAGATTAAATTACTAACAGGTAAAATGACCTTGGCTGAGTAGACTAAAGTAGTGTCACGGGCCTTACTCTATTTGAAAGATTAAACAGCAGGGCCTGTTGCCCCATATTGCTTCGACTCTCATTATGGATCAACATGCTATGTGCTGAGAACACCAAGCCCCATCACACCTAGGCAAAGTGTTATCTATTGAAATTTACAATGGTTGTAAAATCCAAATCATCTCACCAAGATGAAGGAGAACTATTCAATCGCCACTGGGATCCCACCGTCCTACTGGAAGTCAGGCCTACTGATGCACAATGTAACTGGAATGGAACATGCACCATTGAGAAAGGGAAGAAGGTGGAAGTCCTAGTCAACATACCCCACCCCCCATCTGACTTCTCATGCCTGACAGTACTATCTCCCCTAACAACATGAACAGTATGTATAAGTAGGTCAGCTTTCAAAAGCTGCAGTCATATTAATGTCTATATATCAGACATCAAGTATTATTCTACAGATGGGAAAGATCTTCCCATACAAATTCCTGCTAAATATCTGTCTTTTTAACCTTAGACTTCTGCTGACCCTGTCCCGTGGTATCCAGTCACTGGATGGGCACATTTTCCACTGGTAGGATCATTCAGCCATTTTCTTTTATTCCATTGGCCTGGAGGACTTTATAGCACACAGAATCCCTTACTAGATTCACTCAACAAGACTTAAATGACAGGCAATAAGCCTTTCCTTACTGAACACTGACAAGTATCTAATGAGAAAAAAACATCCTCTAAAGTAGGATGGGTAGCCATTCCCTGCTGCAGGGGATCTTCCTGACTCAGGGATCAAACCCGGCTCTCTTGCACTGCAGGCAGATTCTTTACTGCTGAGCTACCAGGGAAGCTCTAAAGTAGGATGGTCTCGGACAGTATTATCGCCTCACAAGGATGCACCTATGCCACTGTCCAAACAGAATGCTATATGTTCATACCTGATGAGTCTACTAATGTATCAACTTTCACTAAATCACATGAGGACACAAGTGAGTGAATGCTCTGAGTGATCCCACCTTTAGTCTTAGGAGACTTAGTAAATCAGTGGTTTAGATCATGGAGTTCTTGGTGGAAAAAAAACTGTTACTTATATTAAGAATCATTATCTTTATATGTGTTTTCTCTTGTATATGCTTATACTGTTGCTGTGGCATCTACCTTCAATGTAGCCAGACAGCTGCCAGTCAAGCCACCTCCATGGTAATAAAACTCCTTGCTGATTGCTCAGACACTGCAGAAGAGGGCAACGTATAGTTTTGTAAGAGCTGGTTACCAGGGATGGAGTATTAGAGGAGGTTATTGAACAGGATGTGACCTCCAGTTGACCTGCACGCTGGACCTGGACAATTGATGACTGCTTACATTTTCCCCTGTTCTTGGAATGTACATTCTTCCCACCATTTGCATTCTAGGAGCTGTTTCAACAATGCAGCCTTAAGAGAGTGACATATTGTTGAGACAGTCTGAACTGTGCACATGACTGAACCCTGTTAAGGCCTCTATATAAACTTTTAAGATGCTGGCTAGTAGGTGCAGTGATCTACTTGTCTTGCAACTACTCAAGACAAGCCTCATACTTCCCTCATAAGTTCCCTTGCTTATTAAAACTGCCCCTGGCGACTTCCCTAGCCATCCAGTCGTGAAGACTCCCCACTCCCAACACAGGGGTCACTGGTTTGATCTCTGTCCGGGAACTAAGATCCTGCATGCCACACAACACGAACTAAAAAAACAAAACAAAACCCCTGTCACCTACCAATCTGGAGTGCTCTCTTTCTGTAGTTTCTCCTTGTCTTCCAAGTATGGAGGCCAGTTTCAAATTTCACCCAGGGACTCCCAAGGTTGCAAACCAATATGAGCCCATATCAGTAAATTTAGCCTGATCCAATGTAATGTTCCTTCCATCATTATCCTACATTCTTAATATACATTTAATCTCTCCAGGTTTCTGCTTCTATAAATTAGAAAACTCAATTAGTTCCTTTGGAGTGTAATGCTCTCCCTCATGGACCATACTTTGTATCTCATCTTTAGAAGCCTGCTGGAACCTGAGTATAGTTATAGGTCTAGAAGCAGAGAAGGGTGATGGGAATGGATCCTGAGGGGTCTCACAATTATCTTCCATGGCAACTGCATAGAGGGAGGTAACTACCATTTCCTCAAGCAATGCTGTGCTAATCCCCACAGATGAGTAGAAAGGACCATACCACTGGGGGTGGGTAAACTGGGAATGGAGATGCTGCTGACAATGGGGGTAAGGAGGCCACTTTTGCTATAGCTGGGGAAGACACTTTGCCTGGGGCTGAGGATGTCAATTTGGCTGGGGGTAAGGAAGTTGATTCCACTGAAAATGGGGATGCTGCTTCCACTTGGGGCGGAGAGACCTCTTCCACTGGCAAAGATTTATCAGTATTTAGGAACTCAAAGTCTCTAGCTTCATTAGAGTCTTTCCACACATTTCCATCAAAGTTTGCAGGATCTCATTATTTCCTAGTCAGCACCTTCACTTTTAACAGTAGACACTCTGCAAAGCTGAGAGTTAAATCTGTGTTGTAACTCAGTCAATTACAAGGTGAAGTTCTGTGTTTGATTTTCAGCAATTTTAGCTCTGCTTCTACAGGAGATAAGATTGTTCTTAAAGGTACACAAAGAAGCTCTTACGTGACATTTACATGACATTCAAACTCGGTATTCAAATCCCCGAGCTCATCCTTTTCTTACACCACTTTGTCCAGCAACATTAGGAACAACCAACATCATTGACTTCCTTAACTTTCAAAAAATGTTGAAAAGTATCATTCACTGAGTCACTTAGCCTCTTGCTTCTTATAAGTGCTTGGTTGTGTGCATGCATGCTAAGTCACTTCAGTCATGTCCAACTCTTTGTGACTCTATGGACTGCAGTCTGCCAGGCTCCTCTGTTCATGGGATTCTCTAGGCAAGAATACTGGAGTGAGCTGCCTGCATTAGCAAGCGGGTTCTTTACCACTAGAACCACCTAGGAACCCTAGTGCTTGATCACAAGTATATATTTTGTGTATCTCTACAAACAGTTCCCATCATGGACTATCAATGTTCTCTTTACTAGTGAAAATAGAGTCATCAGTGTCTTTAAATCTAATCAGATTAAAGAGTCAATTCCAGAAACAACAGAACCAAATTATTTAGGTCTATTACCCATTTTGAGTTAATTTTTGTAAAGGATTTAAGTTCTGTATCTACATTCATTACTATGATAATTTTCTTCAGTGGCATGTGTTCCTTTTAGTTTTTATGTATCTATCGTAGGTTTGTTGTTGTTGTTTTTGTTTTTGGCTGTGCCAAGGCATG